GCCACAATCCTCTTCATGGCCTCCAGCTTGAGTGAATCCTTGTTGCTGTCGAGCATCTCCTTGAGGTCATCATGCCTGAACCACACCACGGGGAAAAAAAATCCCATTTTCACATTTTTACCTGTTTTTTAGTCCTTTTTTTCTGCTCCCAGCCTTCCATCAGGCCGGCAATCCAACCCTTCATCATTAAATATTTATGAGGACAGGAGTTGGGTTACAGCCAGGTGAAAAAGGAACCGGAGGGACTGGCATGGTGCTAGCACCCAGTGCCATCCTCATCCCAGGCACCAGGACAAGAACCCCGTTCCATCCTGGCTGTGGTTGTCACCCTACATTGTCCCTAAACCACAGGTGCCCATCACCAGCTCCATCCTGGTGTGGCTGGGTGTCCTTGTCGTCAGCTTCATGGACATAGTGGCATGGATGTGCCAGCACACCCTGATGAAAAGTCCTTCCCTAATCCCCTCCCCGGACTGGGAAAATGCCACCAGCCTTTTGTAAAGTTGTTACCACTATCCTCTTTCCTAAGAGACACTGGTCCCCCCCTAAACTGGGTGCACCTGCAAGGCTGCATCTACCTGCAGCAGCTGAGGGTGACACCCATGGGATGATGCTCGTCCAGAGCCACCATCACCAGAGGGTCCTGGGGGAGCTCCCTGGGGGAGTCTTACCGCGGCGGTGGCCCGGTGCCAGTGTCCGCTGCGGGCTTGGTGCCGGCGAGTGGCCGCAGCTCATCAGCTCGCAGGGCGCTGTAGCAGGTGGGTTGTCCAGCCTCGGTGGCCAGCACCGGGCTTGTCACCTCCTCAGCCACACCACCACCCTCTGGTGTTTTCGGCCAGCCAGCTGGCCCCACCGGCAGCTGCCGCAGCAGCTTCTGCACTGGCGGCAAGGACATCATAGCTCTGACTGGCGGTAGTGGCCCTGGGGATGGTGACAGGGCTGTGGCCCCGCTCCTCTGCCCAGCACAGTGGGCTGAAACCTGATGCCGTGGTTGGGGTTGGGTTGCAGCCTAGATCAGGATGCAGATCCCAGTGGATGAGGCCAACTTGGGATGTCACATCCAAAGTGACATCTGACCTGCAGTTGGGACTTGGGGACACTGCAGGGAGCTCCTTCCTCAGGGCTGAGTGGCTCAAGTCCTGGGCAGGGAATGCACATCATGGTGGGACACTCTGCCTGGGTGGTAGGGTGGCATGATGGGGCATCTGTGGGTGTCTCAGCTGGGTGATGGGGTCACACTTGGTGCATTTGTCTTGCCGCATGTGCCATGGATGCCATGGATGGCTCACAGGAGTGGTGATAGATCTGGTATAGCCCTGGCAAAGGGCAGCACACAGATTATAGTGACACTATGGGTGTGAGGGACACTGTGAGTGTGGGGGACACTGCCAGGAGGTCAGGGATAAGGGGTCATTGCCGTGAGGGTGCTGACACTGCCAGAGTGGGAGGCACTGATGGCAAATCACTGAGGTAACCGGGACAGACTGGGAGACACAGCCAGGGTGTCAGGGCTGGGGGATGCTTCCAGAGTGGGGGACACTGCCAGTGGGGGTCAGGGGACACTGGCAGACATGGGAGCAGGGAAGCATTTCCAGGCTGGGAGACATTGCCAAGGAGAAGTCAGAGATGGGGAGACTTGGACAAACTGAGGGACACTGCCAGCGGTTCATGGGAGGGGCAAACACTCTGAGATGTGGGTCATGATAGAGGGCACTGCCAGACTGGAGGACACTGGCAGTGGATCAGGGCTGGGGGAAATTGTCATACTGGGGGAAATTGTCATACTGGGGGACACAGCCAGGGGTAGGGAGTGTTACACTGCCAGACAGGGGCAAGGGACACTACTAAGGGGTGAGGAAATGGGGGCACACCATGAGATGGGAATACTTCTTTCAGGTCATGGATGCAGGGCACATCCAGAGTGGGGGACAGTGCCAGGGGCTCTGGGTGGACATTGTCATACTGGGGGACACTGCCAGAGTATCAGAGAGAAAGGGACACTGCCAGGGATTCAGGGAAGGGGGACCCAGTGAGATGGGAACACGGCCCGAAATCACAGATCAGGGACACATCCAGAATGGGGGACACTCTGCAGCATTAGGGAGGAGTACAGGGAGAGAGGGGACACTCCCAAACAGGGGGCATTGCCAAGAGGTCAGGATGGGGTACACATTCAAGGTGGGGGACGCTGCCAGGGAATCAGGACTGGAGGAACATTGTGATGCTGTCAGACAGTGACTCTGCTTTCCTGCTGGGGCAGCAGGGAGTGGGGGACAGTGCCAGAGTGGGGGACACTGACATAGTAGGGAGGGCCAAAATACATTCCTGCAGCTCCAGGAGCACACCCCCCCCCATTCCTCTTCACCCCTGCGCCCCCCTCAGAAGCGTGTCCCACTGTCCCACGGCAGGGTGACATTCCTCATCCTCATCCCCCACATCCCCCTGCCGCCCACCGGGAACCTCGATGCGATGGGGGGGTGTCAGCTCAGGAGAACCACAGGAGCCAGCAGACCCGGTGGTGGGAACAGCGTGCCCGGGATGCCCCAGCCCGAGGGTGGGAGGGTCAAGGGGCATCCCCGCATATCTCCCCCAACCGCAGCATCTCCAAAATTCCGCGGTGTTCCCACCCTCTCCGGCCTTTGCAACCTGCAATGACGGTGGCGGCGACCTGACCGCATTCCCTGCCCCATCCCTGTCCCCATCCTCGTCCTTACCCCTATCCACATCCCCATCACCATCGTTATCCACATCCCCGTCCCTGTCCCCGTCCCCACGCCGGGGGCCGCTCCAGCCCCGGCTCGGGTGCCGAGGACGGCGGCCGAGGCCTGCAGTGGCGGCCGCGCGGGCAGGCTCGTCCTCGTCCCCCGTGCCCGCATTGTCCCCACCTCTTGTAGTCGGAGGAGAAGATGCCGCCGCTGGCGGGGTCATGGCCGTACTCGGGCTCGCCCAGGCTGGAGGAGCCGCCCTTCTCCTCGCCGTAGGCCGGGCTGGCGGCCATGGCGGCGGGAGGGATGCGGGATGCGGGATGCGGGGGGGACGCGGGAACTGATGTCAGCGCGGGCGGGGACGGGCCCGGCCCCGGCTCCCGCCCGGGGGCAGCGCCCGGCTGGGTCGGTCCCCGCCGACACCGGGAACGGGAGCGCAGGGGGAGCTTCGCTGCCCCGGGGGGTCCCTGCGCAGCCCCGGCACCTGCACGGCTCCGGGAGCGGGACACGGGCGATCCTAGGAGAGCGATGCTGGGCACATAGCTATGATACAGTGACTGTCACTGGGCTCACAGCCGCGCACATACCCGTCCGGAATAATGAAAATCTATAATTACATAGCAATAGACATTATTGTGTATCATTATAATTAGACGTATTTAAAATAGATTACATGACAGTAAAGAATGTTATATGTTCGGATGCTATAATATGTATATCCTACCATATTACACTTTATTATTACTTTACAAATTATTATTTTATAGGCAATAATGTGTGCAGTATACATAGTACACATTTACTTATATATTACAAATAATTTATATATTCTATTACATGCTGCATACTGTATACCATATATTGCATGTTATTTATTACATTGCATTATATTATATTATATATTTCATTAATTATGCACTACTATGTATTTGCCATATTCATATGATGATATAGATAATCCATAAACCATTCTACATTCTACAGTTTATATATATGATACATATGCAATAAGTTATATATGCAATATGTTATGCTATGTTATATTGCAGATTATGTTGTGTATTATGTATTTTCTACTGTATGATAAAATTCAATATTTTATGATCTATATTCCACATGATAGTATATGTGATGTATGATATCTGAATTATTATATATATTAGGTATGATATTAATTTATATTATTCTTATTATAGATATTATAGTTTATATTTAATATTGTTATCAATAACATGATAGGAATTATATACTAGATATATGATCATATATTAACTATACTACAGACGTCAAATACAAATATTGTAGATATGACTATGCATATTAAGATATTTAATATATATTTTTATATACTATATTACTATAAATTATATAAATAATAAGATATCATTATTGATGTTATTATAGTTGAGATTTTGTTTGCATTTCTTTTATTTTTCCCAGGTACTTTATACTCTTGGCAGATATTTCTGCTGTTGTTTCTCCAGGCAACTGGTCCTGGAGCTGTGTGGATGGGGCAGCACTCACCCCATCCCACAGGAGTGAGGCAGTAAAGGAAAAGGGCCATGGTTCAAGTAGGAGAATTTAATAAAGCATCTAATTAATGGACAGCAATTAATCTTCAGCACAAAGACACACTCACTCCAGCCCTCCAAGGGACCCCACAGCCCTCCCAGGGACCCCAACCCTGCTGGGATCTCAGAGCTCCCTGGGGACCCTGCTGCTCTCCTGGAGACCCCAACCCTCAGGAGACACAGCGAAGAGCCTGACTCCCCCTTTTTTCCCCCCATAAACACTGATAAAATCCTACTGGACGTTCCCTTCTCCCTGCTGAACTGCCCCAACTCTTTCAGCTTCCCTTCCTAGGGAAATGCTCCAGAGCCTTGGTGGCCCTTTATGGTGTCTCTCCATGCTGGAGAGCCCATCACAAGATGCAGCACTCCAGGGGTGCCAGCTGGGCTGGTGACTCACTCCCCCTCACTGCAGATACACTCTACCTCATCACCTGGATCAGTAAGGAAGAGGTTGACCAGAACTGGACACAGAGTTGTCCCTTGGGGTACACCACCAGCCTCTGGACAGACCTGATCCAGCCTTTTGGCCCATTTTCAACCCAGCAGCCCATGGAATATTCATTTTTATGCTCAAAACTAAATGCTAGCAGTGAAAGAGGCAGATGCTTCTCTCAGGAGGCCATGGGGAGCAAAGAGCAACATCTCCCGTCAAGGTGGGACATCATTTGACAGCAGCTTCTGGGAAAAGTGAGAAAACAACAAATCAAGCAGGGTTGGCGCAGGGTTTCCATGCAACTGTTTATTGCCACACAGGAGGATTGACAAATCACTGGTGCAGTTCTGGTGCCCAGGGGAGGGCACTCAGCCCCACATGTTTCTTAGGAGCACCATCACCTCCATCACTGCAGCGCTGGGGACACCTGGGAAAAAAGAAGAGATTTGGTGACACTTAGCTTGAGCAGGTGCCAAAATGTCCCAGGGTGGTGGCACCTGGTCTGGTGGTGGCACCCACCATGGCACCAGCAAGGTGGCCCAGCCCCAGGAGGGCGAGAGCGAAGTGGATGCAGTTGCAGGTGACGGTGTCGTACTCCACTGGCTGGTCCATGGCCACCCGGATCCGTCGCTGCAGGGCAGCCACGTCCAGCCCTCCCTTCCTGCGGAGCACCTTGGCCGGGCCCCGTGTCCGCAGGAGGTGGCTCTTGCCGTGCTTAGCCACAACGCCTGATGGTGACGTCCCTGAGCTGCCTGCAGGGCAAAGTGGACTCTATACCCCATGTCCCTTCCATGGAGATGTCCCCAAGCCATGACAGCTCTTGGGGCTCACCTTCCAAGTGGATGATCTCCCCATCACCGCAGTAGATGCCAGCATGGGCGCCCCACCAGCCAGGGCCCCCGGAGGCCAGCGGGAAGAGGAAGAGGTCCCCAGGCTGGGGCTCAGCCACCCCGTTGGGGACCATGTTGAAGTGTTGTCCCAGCAGCCCCTCGCAGAGGAAGAACCCTGCCGTGGTCACTGCCCCAGTCACTGCCTGGGGACCCAGCCATGTTTCAGGGCCACTGGTGGCCTGGGGACACCAGCAATATCACTGACCTGCTGGCTCATCCCACATCATTGGTGGCTTAAGCACAGCTTGGGTCTCTGGCCTCCATGGATGGAAACCCTTTGGGAAGGGGCTGCCCCCTCGAGGTGCTGAAGCACCCATGGGTGCCAAGGGAAAGGCAGGGTGTGCAGCATTTGGCCCAGTTGTGCCAGGGCTGTGACGGGCAGTGCAGGGCACAGGGGCAATGCCAGCACTTACCTGCCTGGAACTGCTCACCTGGAGGGACAAACACCTTGCATCAGCCCCAGTGTCATCTGTGTCATGGCTCAGCCCTGGCCTGGGCTGCTGCCACCCCCTGCCCAAGCACCTGACTGGGATTCTCATGCCAGCACCCCCAAACCTGCCGTACCCAGGAGCCCAGCCAGTGCCAGGCCTGGAGGAACAGCCAGTCCGGGGCTTGCAGGGTCTGAAGGAGGGAGTTCACCTGTGTGGAGAGGAGGCAGGGCAAGACGGGGACTGTCCCCTTCTGACACCCATCCCCTGCTGCCACCCATCTCTGCCAGCACCCAGCCCAGCCCAGCCCAGCCTCCCAGGCCACAACCCCCTCCCCCCCTGCCCAGACCCAGCACCAGGCAGGTCCTATGGCAAAGGGGTGGGATCACCTGGATGCAGGTGTCCTTCCTTCTGGCTCCCCTTTACCTGGGCGAGGAGATTCATCTGCAAGGAGAAAACACGATGTCCCAAGAGCTGGCGGTAGGTACCCATACCTTGGAGACTTCTCTGTCCCCACAGCTGTGGTGACACGTCACCCTGCTGAAACCCAAGCTGCAGCCTCGGGGCTCGTTCTGTGCCCTGCTGCCTCACCTTGGGGACACCTCCAAGGTCCCCTCACTCCACTGTGCTTCCCAAGCTGCTGCTGCTCCAAAGGTGGCTGCAGGGCAGGACCTCAGCCCGCCCCGGCAAGCACCACGGTGGCTCTTGGCAGCGGCACATGGCTCCACCGGTGCCTGGGAATGTGCCCGGACCGGCTGCACCGTGGCACTGTGCCCATCCTAAAGGGCCAGTCCCAGGGGGACAAACACAACCTGGTGTGACAAATCATACACACACCTCTTGGGTGACCCCAGAGGAGTCAGGAAACAGCCCTGTGGCCACCATGCTTTGGTAACCACTGACCACCAGGCTTATGACAAATGACCTCTTGGTGCCAAAACCCTCTGGCCCTGCGAGACCATCAGCCTGTACCCAGCCCCTTGTCCTAGGGATGACCACCAGTCTGTCCCCAGCTCCTTGTTCTAGGAATGGCTACCAGCCTGTCCCCAGCCCTGTCACCCCAGAATGGTGCATGCCCGGGGTCAGCTCCCGAGTCACATTAAACTTTAATCCTGGTGCCAGGGGTCAGTGAAGGCTTTAGCAGGGCTCAGGTGGGTGACTGTCACCCTCTGTCATCAGGCAACCTCCAAAGAATCATTTATCAAGGAGCCTCCAATAAACAAGAGCTAATTACAGGTGAAACCTGAGCCTGGCCTGGACCCAGCTCAGTGCAGGTGGTAATTAACCCTTCCCAGCCACCTGCAGTGCCACAGCCACCCTCCTAGAACTTCATGTCATCTTTTGTTGGTATTGTCCCCTTCTAAACTCCACCATCCTCTCCTGGTCTCTGTTGTCTTGCCCACATGTACCCATCACACCCTTCTCATTCCCATCCTCCATTCCCTCTCATTCCCTCCCAGTCCCCATCATCCCATCTCAGTCCTTACTATCATCCCATCATGATCTCCATTCACCCTATTGCATCCCACTACCCCCTCATGATCTCCATCACACCTTCCTGGTCACTGCTGTCACCTCCTGCTCTTCACATTTGTCATTATCTCTGGGTCACCATCAAAACATCCAGATTCCCATTGTCCCCACCTGATCCTCATTATTGCCTCCCAGTCTTCATCTCCTTGTTGCCATCACCCCCTCCTGATCCTTGTTGTTGCCTCTTGGTCCCCATCATGTCCTTTCCGTCCCCCATCAGCTCCTCGCGGTCCCCACTGTCACCTTGATCTCCAATATCTCCTCCCGATTCCCATCATGTTCTCTTTGTCCCCATTGTCTCCTCCTTGTCGTCACTGTCCTGTCCCATTCCCCACCACTCCATGCTGTCACCAACAGGAGCAGGACTGCCAGGACAGTGGTGCTTCCCTGGGTCACTCGATGTCCCCAGCCAAGCTGTCCCTGACCAGGGTGGATCCACCAGCTCCCCACAGCCAGTGGGATTAGGGTGGCTGGAGCTCTGGGGCTGCTCCTGACCGCAGATCTCAAGCCCATCACCAGCATCTTTAGGTAATTAGTAAATTAGTAATTAAACGCTCTCTGCCTGCTGGGGGGAAGGAGGGCAGATCCCAAGGTTTTAGGCTGGGTAATCCTGTGGCATCTGCCCCAGCATCTGTGACCGAGCCGAGTCACGACCCTACCTCAGGCTTTAACATTTGCTCCTTCACCCCCACCCACCACCCACTGCCCCTCCACCGTGGCATCAGGCCCGCTCGTGTCACACCCAAAACGGGCTGGGTTGGGCACCCAGGAGTGCCCTGGGTGCTCATGGAGCCTTCATCCCTGGGAAGAGGACAGGGTGCTGCTCCACGGGGAGCTCACTGTAGGGACAGCACCCAGCTGGGTGCAATGGAGAAACGGGGTGGGAAACCATATTTTTGTAATTATTGGCTTTCCTGGGGGTGCTGATGATTGGCTGGCAGCAGATGGTTGGCCCAGCTAATCCCCCTCCCAAATCCCTGCTCCAGAGCTGGCTTTTACCCAACGGCAAGGAGGGGTCAGGCAAATTAGCCTAACTCAGCCATCCCGCCATTCTGGCTGCTCCCCACTGTCCTGGTGCTGGCCGCCTGTGTGCCCATGGGTGGGCTGGCACGCCGGGATGCCGGCGTTCCTGGCACCCTGGGTTGGGCACAGGGGAGTGTTCACCCATGGGTGAGAGGTGTGGAGGCACCCAAGGGCCGGGCAGGGAGGTGACAGCTTGCTCCCGCTGCATTAGCCCAGCGTCATAATTCTGCCACGGGAGGAGGTGGCCCCTGCTGCAGATGGTGGCGGTCAGAGATCTAGGTCAGGACGGGGCTGTGGGTGGGACAGGGCACCCTGGGGAAACGGGGGGTGCCAGGGTGGGAGGGGGCTGGAGGCAGGGGGCACGGAGCCACGGTCCAGACAGGAAGGTTGGTGGAGCCATGTAGTCAGGAAGGGTGATGGAATGTTGCTGCACATGGGAACATGGAGCCATGGTGCAGGCAAGGCTAATAGAGTGAGTCACAGTGCAGACTGTTAAGATGGAGAAACGCTTCAGGCGAAAGGGATGGAAGTAGGTTGTAGGCAGGAGGATGGAGCCATGCCGCAGGCAGGGAGATGCAGGAATGCTGCAGGCAGCGGGGATGGAACCGCACATCAGTTGGGGATGATGCAGGGGTGACCCCCAGCCCCTGCATCCATTGGAGTCACTGCTGCCAGACCTGCTGCCATTGCCTGTCCCCTGAGACACCTTCAGGGCATCCACACACCTGAGCCCCTCTGGAAGGGGCAGAGCAGGCCGGGAACCCCTGTCCTCAGCCGGGCCCATCGCTGAGGACAAGCCGGGCCCATGACGGTGGCCACCCACCACCCCCCTGAGCGGGGCGGGGGGGGGGTTTAGCGGCTAAAGCCCACAAATCCCAAATTGTGCTGCCCTGTCACCGCGAGGGTTTAGCGGTGGTTGCATAACCCCGGGGCCACCTGGCCCCCACCCTCTGCGGTGTCAGCAGCCTCAGCATCCGTGGAGGCCCCGTCCCCGGGAGGGGATGCTGAGGCACGGCGGGGCCCCTACCGAGCATCCCCCCTCCCCTCGCCATCAGGGCCGGTAATTAATTACTTGGGGGCAGGGAAATTACCCCCCTTAATTACCACTTTTCGTTATTCCCCTCTAACCGCCTTAGTGAAGGGCTTATGCGCTTACAGGACCTGGTGGGTCCCAAGGGGAGGACGACACGTACGGGGGTCCCCAGCCCAAGCCCCATCTCCCAGCCCTGCCGCAATCTCGGCCTCGCAGTGCTGAGCTGGGGGGGCTGCAGGGACAGGGTGACACCTCCGCGGCGGCGCGGGGGGGTGGCTTGGGTGTCGCGGGGTTTAGGGTTACAGGGCTGGGGCTCAGCACCTTTTTAATTCTTCATCGCGTGGCTGATTGATCCCCCCCGCCCCGCGCAGACACTAAAGATTAAGAGGGTGACAAAGAGGCGGCTGCTTACACAGCGCCCGCCGCTAAGCCGCCTTGAAGAGAGCAAGGCAAGAGCCCCGCTGGCTGCAGAGCTGCCGGAGCACCCACCCGGAGCCTGGCCAGACCCTCCGCGGGGACCCACAGGGACGGGACACGGAGAGGTCGGGAACGCCGGGTGCAGGATGGCTGCGTCCCCGGCGGGGTCGGTGGTGAGCGCCGGGCTGGATGAGAGTCCCACGGGTAAGAGGTGGTTCTGCTGGGCCGGACGCGACATGGAGGGACATGGGTTTTTCTCTGGGATGGCTGGGCCCCCACTGTGGTCACTCCCCAAGATGCCTGGGGGTCTTCTTCATGGTTCTCCTCTGGTATACTTGGAATCCACATAATGGTCGATCACCAAGATACTTGGGGTCCTCTATTGCAGTTTTTCTCTGAGATGCCTGGGATCGTCATGGCCTCCTGGATGCCTTTGGTCCCTGTTGTGGTCCTTCTCTGAGATATCTGGGGGTCCCTATTATGGTTCATCTCCAAGATACACAGTGTCCCCATCATAGCTGTTCGGGATGTTTGGGTTCTCCATTGCCAACCTTTTCCAGAATAGCTAGGCTTCTCCTCGTGGTCCTTATCCTGGGTGCCCAGGGTCCCCATCATGGTTGCTAGCATGCCTGGGGTCTTCAGCTGCCATCCTTCTCCAAGATGCTGAGTCCCCATCATGGTCCTTCCCTAGGCGAGGATGCCTGCAGTGCCCAACCCTCTCCATGGTATCCATGGTCCTGATTTGTGTTCCTTCTCCAGGATCCCTGAGGTCCCCAGCTATGCCCCTTCTTCAGGATTCCTGCGGTCCCCTCTAAAAACCTCTCCTGGATACCCTTGGTCCCTGGCCCTTCACCAGGATCCCCAGAGTTCCCTGCCATGACTCTTGTCTGGGGTGTCCCATGTCCCCAGAGCTGTCCCTTCTCCAGGACACCTCCCATTCCTGATTGCAGCCCTTCTCTGGGATGCTTAGTCCCCTTCCTGGGATGCCTGGTGTCCCCATCCCTAAGAACACCATTTCATCCCTTTTTTTAATTTTCAAAATTCCTGTGAGAGCTCATCCTGCATCACTTTGTGTGCTGGGGTGTGGGATGATGGTGAACCCGTGGAGTCCCTGAGGTGTCCCCATTCATGTCCCTGGGCTGAACCGGCAGAGACAGGAGCCACCCCATCTCCAGGGTGCTGGGAGGCAGCAGGGACTGGTGGGTGGGACAAGGGACATTGGGATGCCCAGAGTCAACCCAGATGTGATGGTTCCACTTCCACAGGTCTGAGCCCAGCGCCCGGGAAAGAGCTGAGCCCGGTGCTGCTGTGCAAGGTGTGCGGGGACACCAGCAGTGGGAAGCACTACGGCATCTACGCCTGCAACGGCTGCAGCGGCTTCTTCAAGCGCAGCGTCCGCAGGAAGCTCATCTACAGGTGGGAACAGGGAGTCCCCACGGGGCAGGGAATGAGGGGACAGAGGAGCAGGCACCCTGTGGATGGGCATCCAGGGGGCAAGAATCCGGGTCCCATAGAATAGAGGAAAGGACACCCCACAGGGCAGGGACCACAGGAATGGCCACCCAGGGTGTCAGGGATCCAGGAGATGGACACAGTGGGGCAGGAGTGGGGGGAACAGGCACCTAGCGGGGTAGGGACACCCAGCAGAACAGGGACCCCATGGGGTGAGGCACCCAGCAGGGAAGGGATGGACACCCTGCGGCACAGGAACCTTGCAGATGGACACTCAGCAGGACAGGGAGCTTGGGGCAGGTCCCCAGTGGGGTAGGGTACCCCGGAATGGACACTCAGCAGGCCAGGGACCCCAGGGCATGGGCAATGGGTGGGGCAGAGACCCAGGGGGACTTAAAACCACTCAGGGGACAGGCCTGCAGAGGGAGAGGCATCTGTGTAGAGGGTGTCCAGAGCCCCCCTGATGGGGGGGGGCCAAAACACCCATCAAGGCAGAGTGATCATTAGTATAGAGCACCCTTGGAGTGGGGACAGGGCACCCACTGGGGACAGGACACCTCCTGGGGAGAGGGAGGGAATCACTGGGGAGAGACGTGGTACCTGTGTGGGAGGACCCTCCTTGGGGACAGGAGCCACCTCAGGGGCTGCAGCCATGTGCCACCTCTCCCCACAGGTGCCAGGCGGGGACGGGGCTGTGCCCAGTGGACAAAGCTCACCGCAACCAGTGCCAGGCCTGCCGGCTCAAGAAGTGCCTGCAGGCTGGCATGAACAAGGATGGTAAGATGGGGGGGACAAACAGTGGGTGTGACACACAGGGGGTGACAGCGGGGTGGCCGGTGCTGATGCCACCTTGTCTGCACAGCCGTGCAGAATGAGCGCCAGCCCCGCAGCACGGCCCAGGTCCAACTGGACAGCATCCAGCTGGATGCTGAGCTGCCCCCTGAGCACGTGGCCACCACATGTGAGGTCCCCCCATCACCCTGTCCGGCTCCTCGTGGCCCTGGTGCCACCATCACCCCGGGTCCCCGAGCGCCCACACCACCCACCAACCATCGCTTCATGGCCAGCCTGATGACGGCCGAGACCTGCGCCAAGCTGGAGCCCGAGGACGGTGGGTGGCTGCCAGTGGAGAGGGGGGTGGGTGGGTGGTGGATGTCCCCATGGTGTGGTGACAGCCAGTGTCCTCTTCCACCCCTGCAGCTGATGAGACGGTGGATGTGACGGGCAGTGAGCCAGAGCGGGCAGCCAGCGAATACCAGATGGCACCGTACCCAGCAGCCAGCCCCGAAAACATCTATGAGACCTCAGCACGGCTCCTCTTCATGGCTGTGAAATGGGCCAAGAACCTGCCTGTCTTCTCCAACCTGCCCTTCCGTGACCAGGTGGGGTTGGCAATCTCCATGAGGAATTGGGGATCTGCCTAGGGGACAACAGGAACCCCAAAAAAGTAGCAGCCAGTTGGAGTAACTGGAGCATATCCACAACATTCTTAGGGCTCCCTGCAGAGGCTTGTCAGCCCAACCAGCTGTGGTGGCTACAGGTCCTGGAGACTTTGGGGGTGACAGAAGTTTTGGGGTTCCCCCCACTCTCCCCAGGTGATCCTGCTGGAGGAAGCATGGAGTGAGCTGTTCCTGCTCTGTGCCATCCAGTGGTCCATGCCCCTGGAGAGCTGCCCGCTCCTGGCTGTCCCCGAGCCGACCTCTGGGAAGCTGCTGCCGGCCACCCTGGATGTGCGGGCACTGCAGGAGACCCTTGGCCGCTTCAAGGCGTTGGCTGTTGACCCCACGGAATTTGCCTGCATGAAGGCTGTGGTGCTCTTCAAACCAGGTGAGGCCACACCCAGCAGCCACCAGAGGCCGTCCCCAAGTCCCTCCCCAGCCTGTCACCCCCTTGTCCCTGCAGAGACCCGTGGCCTGAAGGACCCTGAGCAGGTGGAGAACCTGCAGGACCAGTCACAGGTGATGCTGGGCCAGCACAACCGTTCCCACTACCCTGGGCAACCCGTCAGGTACCGTTGTCCCTACATCCTCATGGGTGACACCAGGGTGGGACACCCACCCATGGCCACTGCTCCATCCCCCAGGTTTGGGAAGCTGCTGCTGCTCCTCCCAGCGCTGCGCTTCATCTCCTCGGAGCGCGTGGAGCTGCTCTTCTTCCGCCGCACCATCGGCAACACCCCCATGGAGAAGCTGCTGTGTGACATGTTCAAGAACTGAACCCCCTTCCCTGGCTTGTCACCCTGTGCTGGCACCCTGTCACCCCCACCCTGGGATGCAAAGGTGCCTGTGGTTCCATCTCTGGGGCAATGTCCAGGACTGTGGAATGCTGGCAGCAGCTGGGAGGTGGGAGCAGCTTCCCTGGGGGTGGAAGGGGCTGTCCCCAAGGGCATGCCCAACGCTGGTAGGAACCCAGGCAGAGGCACCTTGGCACCGTGAGGATGTGCTGCCACCCAGGGGTGGCACTAACCCGGGGACACTAACCCAGGGATGAGGCCAGCCTGGGCCATGACATCAGCCAGGGGTGACAGCAGCCAAAGGTGGTGCCAGCCCCGGAGTGACACCAGCCCAGGGGTGACACCAGACTGGGACAACCTCAGGTTGATCCCAGGCCAGGGCTGACCCCAGCCCGGGGTGACACGTGGGACAGACCCTTGTCCCTCTGTTCCGGGGTCTCCCACTTGTGTCCCCCATTTTATACTCGGAATAAAGAGAGTTTTGCAGCCAGAGTCCCTGTGCCAATGACTTGGGTACTTGTAAGTACCTTGAAAATAAATTATCTGAATGGAAAGAAATGAAATATAAGTAAAATTAGTATAAATAATCTGAATGAAATGATCAATATAAGGAATATAAATAGAAAAATAGGAATAAAAAGAAAATGAAAACAAATAACCTGAAATTATCTGAATATAAAAAATTAATCTGTTTGGAAATAATCTGAAAAAAAATTAAATAGAAATATAATGAAACTAAACAAACTGAAATACTTTGAATAGAAATTAACTTAAAGTATCTTAACATAAGTAGATGAATATGAATAATCTGACTGGATAAAATGGGCATTAAATAGTAAAAACACAAATAAAATTATATTAAATACACTTAATAGAAATAAAATGCATGTAAATTATTGGAATATAAATACCTGCTTTGAAATCTCCTTAGATAATCTGAATAGAAAGAAAATAAAACTAAATAATCTAAAATAATATCAGTAGAAATAAACTGAGAATAAACAAACTGCATATTAATAAGAGAAGCATAATGAATCTCATTGGAAATCAATGGAATTAAATTATGTGGACAGAAATAAAATGAAATAATCTGAATAGAAATAAATTGAAAATAAATAATCTGAATATGAACAGTCTACCTAAAACTAATCTATAGAAATAATCTTAAATAATCTGAATAATCTAATAGAAAACTAATAGAAATAATCGAAAATTATCTGAATACAGAAAAATGGAAAAAAAATTGTCTAAATATAAATAAAATAAAACATATCTGATGAAAATAATTTGTATATAAATAAATCTGCATATACATAAATAAAAATAAGGTGAATAACAAGTAAAATAGAAATTCTGTGCATATAAATAATGAGAATGTGAATAACCAGCATGAAAGAATCTGAAGGGAAGTGATCTGGAGCCCTGGCTCCCCATCCCAGCTCCTCCATCCACATGATCAGGACTTGGAAAATCCACAACTTCATAACCCGATGGAACAAATGGAAAAAGGCCCAGACCCAGGATGTGGGCAGGGGGCAGCAGGAACAACGTCCCACTGGGAATTCTTGGCCTTTGCAGAATGACACTTTTATTTATTTGTCCGTTTTTGTCAGTTTGTACAAGATTCCGAGCGCGGGCGACGCGGGATAATATATCCTCTTCCATACAGACTCTGTTTAGTTTACAAGCAGCGACTTTATAAATTACTTAGAAAACTTTCCATGAAAAATAACAATAATTCCCCTCGCAGCCCTCCAGTAGTCAGTACATTCAGCCCTCTGGAAAACCCTCTGGGACCCCAAATCCTGCCAGGGAAGGGCTGGGAAGGAGCGGGGAGATGCCAGGGGAAGGGGACCCTGGACCACGCCATTATCCCTCCAGTCCTGCTCAGCTCCTGCCACAGCTGGATTTTATATATATATGTATATATTTCTTTTACATGTGTTTTTCTTTATACATATAACCACAAATATATTTTATATATATATATATAAAGAAACATATTTTTATATATTCTATATATATTCCATACATTTATTTCTGTCAAGAAGTCTATTTTCTTGATATATTTTCCCTACATTCCATACATTTTTATATAAATGAAGAAATAGAGAGAAAATATATTTCTTTATATATACTATATATTTCCTTTATATATTTCTTTACAGAGAAATACACTCTTTCTATAAAGAAATATATAAACACATGTGAAGAAACATATATAAACATACATATTAAACATATATTAAATATATGTTTAAATCATATAGCATTAAATATGTTTCTACATAGAGAAGAAATACATTAAAATATATATAAAGTAATAAATATTCTTTATATATAGTACATATCTCCTTAATATATATACTTCCTTATATAGAGAAATATGTAAAATATATACATAAGGAAATATATAATTAATTTCATTTATAGACTTCTTGATATATAAATATATAAGCATATATACATAAAGAAATATGTATTCTTTATATATACAATATCTTATATATTTATATAAAATATGTACTATATATATAAGACAGAAAATACATAAATGTATTTAGTCTTAATATTCTTTTATGTATTTTTAAATTATACAGAGAATATTTATTATTTTGTGTGTACATCTTTATATATAGAATATATATATTAATATATATGTTCTTTATATATATAAATATCACTTAAATATATTTTCCTTATATGGAGATTAAATATATATAAGGAAAATAAATATATTCCAAAAGAAATAAGATACATATACATATGTATATGCACACATATATACACATACATGTAAACATGTGTACATGTATATATATGCATATATATATTTGCCCCAGTCAGATCTGACATCCCTGCCCTCATCCCATGGGGATGAGAAACCCGAGGATGAGGCTGGACCTTCACTCACACCCAGATCTCCTCCCCTGGGGCCATTTTAAGGGCAGTTCTGGGGTTTTTAGTTCAAGAGGCTCAGAAGGCTGGTTTGGCACCAAGCACTCAGATGCTCCCAGCAATCCCAGCTCCCAGAGAATTTGGGATGGCTCCTCAGGAGTTTCCACTGCTGTGGTCACCATCTGCCTTCTCAGCGCATCCGTGTCTGTCCCCAAAGCCCTGTTCTCCCCTCTGGGACAGGGAAAAATCCCATTTTCCCCCAACGATGGGGGGTGATTGACTTGGTCTCGCTCCACTCCCAGGATGCTGTGCCAAGGCCGATGCTGTTCCCACTCTCCCTGCAGCATCTGTCACTTCCCCCATTGGAAAAAAATTAAAGATAACATGAAAAGAAGTAAAATTTCAAATATCAAATAAAAAATTACCCCAATAAATAAACCATCCCTGGAAAGGGCAGGGGGAGAGGGGACCGAAGAGCAGCTCAGCCAGATCCAGTCATGCTGGGAAAAGACAAAATATTCAGGAAAACTCAATTATTTTGCTATTTTCCCCATTTTTTTATGGCATTTCAGGAAAGGATGAACCCCAGTCCACCCCACCTAGGAGGACAGATCCAGCCTTTGTAAATCTAATTATTGCCCTGGGGCTCCTGATTTTGCCTTTCCAGAAATTTTCTGGTACCCGGAGCTTCTCCAAGTGCCACTGAGGATGATGATGAAACTGGGGAGGGATTACAAGCTGAGTCAGTAACTAGCATCGATAATTAGTCCTATGATGGGTTATGATGGTATAATTACACCTCCAGGGATTTCTTGCTGAGAATAAAACTCCATGTTTTATTGAGTGATGGCCGGGGACACCAGTGGTGACACCAAGGATGGCTCAGCCAATTGCTCCCCTCCTCTCCAGCCCAAAAATAATAATAACAATAATAGTAAAAAAAAAAAAAAAAGTTCTGTCTGGGGAAAAATATAAAAAAAAAAAATTAAAAAAATATATATTTACACGAAACTCCAGGAACCAGCATATAAACAAATACCGCTTCAAGTAGTCCTCGATTATTAATAATTATTATTTTTTAATACTGATGATCTCAAAAAGAAAAAAAAAGGAAAGGTGGTTAGGTCTCATTAAAAAATAAAAAAACAAAGGGAAAAGGTGATTTTTGGCAGGTTTTAACACTTTTCCATGCACTTGGTGTTGGCGTGGATGAGGTGGTTAAAGCGCGGAGGGCTTGGCTGCAGTGGAGCCAGCTCGGGATGCTCCCATGGGATTTTTAGGCTTGGTTTGCTCCTACCAACAGGTGATGGCGATTCGGCACGAGGATCTGGCGGCGGATGTGCCCAGACGTGGGATGCTCCGAGGGGAAGGGCCAGGAACCGGTCAGCGCCTCCCATCCCTGTCCATCCCCCAGCCACCTGAAGGTCTCAACCCCCCCAAATCATTAAGGCCACCATTAAAACCGTCCCCTCCCGGCCTTTTTAATTAAGAATTCATCTCCTGGCGTTAACGAGGAAGCCATCAGAGCATTGCCAATGGGCAGGATGCCCCGGCATGGATGCGGCTCCGGGCTGGAGCACCTCAGACCATGAACTCGTTGCTCCCCATGAGGACAAGGGGTTGGGCGGCAGCGCAATCGGCCTCAGGGTTCCTCTTGCGTCCCCCTCCAGGCCCCCCATCCGGGGGCTCTTTGGTTTTTGCGGGGGAAGATTTCACACTCTTCAGTTTCTGTTTGCCCTTCTCTGGGTTGAAGGTCCCACGCGTGGTGAACTGCGGCCGGTCCTCGGCAGAATGGAGAGGCCCCGTCAGGCCCTCGGGGCTCGCCCGGGTTTCAGGGCTCTCGCCATGTCCCCCTGCTCGGTAGAAAGGAGATTTGGAGTACATCTGGAAGCGCTTCCGGGGCAGGTGGGGCAAGCAGGAGGTGGATGACTGGGAGGAGGAGGAGGAGGAGATGGGGGTGTCGGTTGGCTCCGCTGGCTCCAGCCGCATCCTGGGGTGCCGTCGCAGCCGGCTCGGCCCCTCGGCCTTGGCGGGGCGCAGGGAGGTAAGTGCTACACTTCTCTCTGCCGGGGCAGAAGGACCACAGATGGTCAGCACACCCAGACACCGCCCAGTATCCAACCACCCTGCTCCCTGGGGACACATGCCATTGAAGCCAGGACAATATTCCCAGCATCTCGGTGGGGACAGCATCACCGCAGATGATGTGGCAGTGCTGTAAGAATGCTCACCTCCCCACCAATCCTGGCTGCTCCCATCCATCCCCCCAGGGCCACGTGCTTGAACCCTTAACCTCCCTCACTGCATACATTTAAATTGTTGACTTAATACTTAAAAACCCCAAATAATCCTTCTTAAAGCAACAGAAAGACATGGTGGAAGATGCCCCTGCCCACTGCAGGGAGATGGATTTCATGACCTTTGAAGGTCCCTTCCAACTCAAACCATTCCATCACAAACTCAAGAACACCTGCATTTACCCGAGCGATCGGAGATGGCTCCTTCGGAGTCGAAGTTCAAATTTTCGGAGCTGTCAGCTGTGCCAATGGAGGCTTCGGACTCGAGGGTTTCGTCGTCAGAGGCGCGGG